TAATAATAATAATAATAATAATAATAATAATAATAATAATAATAATAGTGTTTTTTTTTTCCTTCAAAGCACTTCATAAGGAACTATAAAACTAGAAGTAAATCCCTCCGCGCTTGTCTCTCATTTGTGGGTATTTGTCGCCCCCTGGTGGTTTTGATGAAACTCCATCTGAAGAGAGAAACTTTGTTTTAGTCAAAAGAAATTTAAATCATTTCATCTAAAACCAGTTTCTTGGAGAATCATTCGTAATATTTTATTGATTTTGATCTTTTTAAATACATTTTCTGAGTTGCAATACACATGTATATATTTCTGAACATAAAAATATTCATCCATCCATCCATCTATCCATCCATCCATCCATCCATCCATCCATCCATCCATCCATCCATCCATCCATCATATTTACCCACTTCTTCCTTTTCAGGGCGTGGGGGTCACTGGTGCCCATGTCCAGCAGTCACTGTGCGAGGGGCGGGGGACACACCCTGGACAGGTCTCCAGTCCATCACAGGGACACATAGAGACATGTTTTTATTAATTTTATTTTACTTCTTGTTACTCTTCTTCTGTTTTAGTCGGTGAAGAAGTGAAGCTTGTGGTCCAGTTTATGATTTATGAATTAAAAATAAGCTTTGAACATCGTGACGAGCTTCTTGGTTGATGTGAAAATCTCCTGCACACATTCTGAACACAGACTTTTAATTTTTATCTTTACCACAAAATGAATAAGGATCAAAGGTTGGTATTTATTAAAACATGTCAGGTGAGGTCCCATTTCAGATTTTAAGTTGGTAAAAAACATTCAATAAGAAAATAATAATTGTAGCGTTTGACACTTTGAACTTTTGGGGACCACTTTACAGTTAGGCTCCATCAATACTTTATAGATGCGTTATTAATTCTCCTACAAACACTTTATAAATCATTAATAATTGTTGTTATGCATTAATTAAGGGTGACAGAGACCAAACTCAGCAGTTTATTGCCAAATAATGATCCAGATCTGTTATTTCATCTAGAGTTGTTCTATGAAACATTTCATGACAAAGCATTGGAAAACCTTTAAATAATATTAGTTGTAGATAATTAAAATGCAGTGATAAAATACTATACGATAAAGAAATAGGTTTACAAATGTGTATAGTGCTCACATGGTAGTAACTTAGTCTGAAATGTTTCATATAAAAACTTTAGATGAACAGATTTGGATCCTTATTTGGCAAGAAACTGCTCAGTTTTGTCCCTGTCACCCTTAATTAATGCATAATGAACAGTAATTAATGACTTATAAAGTGTTTATAGTGGAAATAATAACGTATCTATAAACTTTTTACAGCCATCTATAAGAGGAGCCTTATTGTAAAGAGGTGCCAACTTCTGAGCAAGTGTGACTGAGTATAATCTTCATCTTTGTCTCAAAGCATTTTTAAAGCCTGACCAAGAAAAGAGAAATGTTTTGAGATATAAAAAGTGGTACGGGCCCCCAGGCTCATCAGCCTCTGAAGATTTTAAAGAGCAGCTCACTGCTGCATTCAGTCGATACGTTTTCACAAAGGTTCCAGGACAGGACACGTCCAAATCATGAATTTCATCTAAATTTGAAAATAGATTTAAAAACTGCAGCAGTTATAGAGGAATTACTGAGGCAGCTCTGTGGAACCAGTGGTGATGGTCGAACTGTAAGAATGGAGGAGGAGCATTAAAAGCATGAGGTCTCATTAAATCACAGTTTGTCAACGCACATGAACTTTTTTTAACTGAACAGGAAACATGATTGTAACTAATGATTGGGACAGTACTGGACACAGCACTGTCAAGAGTGAAGGAAAACAGTCAATACTTAGGACACGTCATGGGTAGTGGCCCCCGCTGACCCCCCCATCAGTCCCTGTCTCATGCTCGCAGCCCCATCATGTCATGTTTCTGCTCCTCTTTGTCATAATGCTGTTTTTCTTCTCTGTCATTAGCCACGCCCCCTCTGCACTTTCAGCTCATCAGCTGATTCACTACACCTGTTCTTATTTAAAGAGTTCCACTGTCACATGTCCTTTGCTGAATTATTACACCACTCTTGGTAAAGCCATTCATAGTTTCTTGCACCCTTGTCTTGACCCTCGCCTGTTTTTGGACTCCTCGCCTGTTTTTGGACTCCTAGCCTGTTTTTGGACTCCTAGCCTGTTTTTGGACTCCTCGCCTGTTTTTGGACTCCTCGCCTGTTTTT